GATTTTATGCTTTTGCGCTGAACAGCACGTTTCCCAGTTCGCTCGGTGGTACCAGCTCCCTGCATCCATGCCTCCAGGGCTGGGATAGTTGGGATGGAAATGTGTACCATGTGCTAATCACCCATCCACAGGTGGGAAGGATTCTCCCAGAAATTATCTCATCTCCCTTCTTGTTTCAACACTGAGAATTCTCCGCTTAGAACACGGTAGGTGCTGTCTGTGGATGTCCCGCGTCCTTGTCAGGACTCTTCTAGTCAGCCTTTCAGAGCGGATCTAATTACAAGCTGTTCCATTGATTGACAATTTCATATACCCTCCTTTTTTAGGTTAACCTTCAATAACTGGCAAGAAGCAGAACTATATGGGTGGAGGTAGCAGGCTATGGATTTATGACACGCTGGTATTCAGGCAAAGTAACCTGGCACGAACACAGAAATATCCTGAACTGTGCTGCTGCTGCTACTGTCAATTTGATAATGAGAATGTGATTTGAAATAAAAACATCTTGGGTGCCAATTCACTACAGCAGCTAGTAAAAATAGGCAGAATACCTAGAAATTGAGGACTCTGTGCTCCGAACACATCCAAAGCGTGAATATCATAAGGTACCTTATGAAAACAGAGTGCGTGGCTGCACTGGGGCTATAGGACCACAAGTGAAAGGCCACTCTGTGAACCCACGCAGGAGCTTGAGCAGAGAGAAGGGGATGCTGCATCTCTCTGTATCTGAGCCCAAGGGAGGGCTGCCCCTCTTTGGGGCTTGTGCAGCCTTGGATGCTTTTACCCCATGCCATGCTCCCACAGTCACCCCAGCACAAAACAGTTCAGCGTCTGAGCTGCAAACACCCCTGGGCAAAGCCTGGCTGAGTTCTGCCAGAGCCTGTGGTACCCAAGAGATGGCCTTTGAGCCAAATAAAATCAGCTTTTAAATGCTGGAGAAGAAAGGGGGCTGCAGGGCCTCGTGCATTTTAAAGGATCCAGCCTTTACAGGAGCTGTTCCCAGTTTCAGGTCAAGCCTGAAGCCTGCTTTAATCTACTTTTAAGTGGTACAAGCAGTTGTGATCCCTCTGCCAGAAGGCAGGGCAGTTTCCTTTCAATGCACCTTCCCTTATCTGCTGCCTGCGATCTCCTGCGGGACTTACTTGTTGCTGTCCCGGTACTGATAGATATAACAGCCTTGAGGCATCCCGCTCTCCTGGTCCAAGGTAAACGCCAGCTTCAGCTGCGGAGAGGACAGGGGGTGGGGGAGAACGAGAAGAGAGAGAGAAGAAAAAAAAAAAAAAAAGCAACATTTTAGGCTCTCAGTCATCACAGCAACTTCAAGCGAGGCTTGTGGGAGAAAGCTTAACTCACCGAGCCTGACACGCAAACACCGTGGCCTGGAACATACCGCGGGGTTCCAAACCTCAGGGAAAAGTCACATGCGTTGCAGAAACCTCTCTCTTTTTCCACCCTTTGTTACTATAAAGTGTTTGTGGTTCTTCTGAAATGCATGGGTCATAATGGTTCACCCCTCCAAACCCACCCACACACACCACCCTTCACCAAAGCGATTGCGGTTCCCCTCAGACACTAAAGAAATGAGTCTTCTCCATCGGCAGCTGTAGTTCCCACGAGTCTTTCTCTGAAAACTTTCCCGGCTCCATCTCGTTCCTCCAGTGCATTAGAACAGAGGAGAAACCACAGAGGGAAAGGTGACAGATTTTTCCTTCTGTGCAGAGTTATTAAAGAGCTGTTAGAAGGGTTTGCAGTTTGGATCCGCGTCCGGCAGGAGGCTATGATGGGACCTGGAAGCCGCTTTTCTTTGCAGCTCCAAGAAGGCGTTCGGCAAGGGCTTTCAGATTTCAAACACGGCTCATTTTATTTAAGGGGGAAAAATTAATCCTCTTTCAACAAGCAACAGAATGGCTCTGCGGGGAGAATTTTTTTTTTTGCTGAAAATGTCTCCAGTGATTTTATATGCTGAACTGCCTAGAAAACAGCACGGGGCTGAGCCCCGCAACAGGGTGTGTATCCGAGCAGCTCCTCTTTCCCCAGGGGAAGGCTGCTGGGACCCAGACCAGTGTCCCACCAGCTCCCACAGCCACGAGGTGCAGCCTCTGGGCTCTGCAAAAGGGCTGCAGACCCCGACCAGGAGCCAGCAGGCTGGGTAAGAGGGGCAGCATCCTTCAGAGGAGGTAGCTGCGGTCTTCATGCACTGGGCGCTTTAGTTTTTGGGGGTCACAGAGACTATTAACAGCAGGGCTGTTACCACTGATGGATCATGCAAGACTCTTGAAATGGTCTGGGAAGACCACTGAAATGGCTAAAAGTTGAAGGAGGTTTGTTATCACAAGCCTGACTTTTTTAAACAGGGAAAGGAGGAGACAGCAGCGTTGAGCCGCTCCATTTGATCACAGACTCCTCTCCTCTGGGCTCCAAGGAAATTGCTAACTCAAATTAACAGCTTATTCAGGAATAAACACAGAATTAAAACATCCTTCTCCCATAGGCTGTTAAGAAACTTGGTGTGCTGAATCACTAGATGGTGCACCGATTTTCCCTTCCCTAAAGGGTAGCGAAGTCATACGCTGTGCTCTCATTGACCCAAATAAAACTGCATACTGTGAAATCATCAAAAAATTCACCATCTGGGATACCAACTTAAGAACCAAGTACCAGGCTGAGGCCAAATCCAGCTGATCTCCCTTGACTTCTGCGCCCCTAACTCTGCAAACCCTTCTCAAATACACGCTCCTGCAACAGCACTTACCACGTGTCGGTGCTTTGCGTGTGGCCGTGACACATATCACGATTCACGCCACTGTCCAGACAGCAACCTTGTACGCTCTCCACAACTCCCCTTCCTGCAAGCTTGGATCTGACTCCAGCTTATCAGATGACTCAGATCCATTTTGGAGACGGGTGTCTCAGGCAGGACCAGCAGGGCCGGCTGAGATCCACAAAGCCGGGCTGTGGCCCCAGTCTCTCCAGATGCTCTGATGGCATATGGCAGCTACCCCACGGGAGCAGGAGGTCAGCAAGAACCAAGCAACCTCCCCAGGGGAGACAAGCGGTCACCTTGCTGGCCATGTGTGGTCCATAACCAGTCCTCCCAAGCGAGCTGCCATGGTTTGGGGAACTGAAGGAGGAAGTGGGAAATGCCCAAAACCATTTTTTCAGGCCAGGTTTTCCACGGTTTTCCTGCTAGAATCCCACCTCTGAGGCAAAAGGGAGAGCAGTTATCTCGGGCACAGCTCCACCTGGTCCTATGCTATGAGGAACGGGCGCTGCACAGCGGAATTGCTAGAGAAGAAACAAAAGAAAGTGCGAAATCGGACAAAAGTGGGGCTTTGGCCACTTTCAGCAATAATTCTGATCAGGACAAACTCAGGAGTGCCTGTGCCTCTTGTTTGCAGCTCTCAGCTAAGCGGGCGTTGGGCTTGCAGTGACTGAGCATCTCTGTCACAGCTCACCTGGGCTGCGGGCCCCCGGCTCCTCCCGGGGCCAGAGCCAGCTCTGCACCAGGAGACAAGTCCAAGGGAAGGGAAGGAAGGAAAAGGGCTGGGAAGGAAAACAGACTTGTTTGGACAGGCAGCCAGGAAAAGCTGTGGGGCCATCAGGTATGGGAGGGTGACCTTTCCACTATCTGGGGGGACAGGGTCCCATGGAACCCGCCTACCCAAAAAGGAACGATCATAGTTCCCAAAGATAAGGGGTTTTCAACTTTTTGTTATTTTAACCCTTCTTTGTCTGCTCATGGTATTCCAGACAAATACAACACACCCTGCTTGGCAGGCTCAGCCACCCTGCTACCCGCCAGTGCCAGCTAGCCCAGCGTAACGGGGACTATGCATGGCTTGGCCATCCAAGGCAATGCTGTCGGGCAAGATGACGATGCTGTCACCTGCAGTGACAAGAAGACTCGACTCAGAGAAATGTCAGGGTCAGCCTGTCACACGGAGACACATGTCACTAAAGGTCTGTCCCAGAAACCATAGCTCAAGGCAGCTGTGCTGTCGCTGATGCACAAACCCCGGCTCTTCTGCAAATCTGCCCTGCTGATGGGCCATCGTGGCCAGCCAGGAGGGGGAAGAGGGGACCTGTGATTCTCACCCAGGCCACAGTCCTTACAAACCCCAAATGAACAGTCAAGCTCTGGCTGTGCAGCCCATCGGGAACCCTTTGCTGATCTGGTGGCGTTTGGTCTCTGCAGGGAGCACAGAGCCCCTACGCAAAACTCGTTACAGGGCAGAAAGAACTACTAAGCTTGGAAGAGCTGTCCACATCCACCAGAGACCATGCCGCTGGGTCCCCAGGAGGCCGAGCGCTCCACTGACCATCCTCAGACACGTGCTCATTTCTGCATGGCCACATGCAGCCGCAAAGCCACGTACGCTGCCCGGCACCTCGGTGCTTTGGAAGGTCTGCTCCACGGATGCTACAGCTCATCTATGAGGCACTTGCTGCAAAAGATCTCCGAGGACAAAACTCAAGCGTCTTTTCCCAGCTCTCTGCAGACCTTTTGCCTTCCGTCACCAAGCCATCACAAAACCTCTCCTTCTGAAATAAAGAAGGTTTGCAGGGCAAGGCTGAGGGGAGGAGAGATGTCAGGAGCTGATGGACCACTTTATTGTTCCTTCTATCTGACTTCTGCTACAACAATGTCACGGGACATCCAGAGCCTCCCAGATACACCAAGCCCTACAAAACACACGAGCTTTTGCAATCCTTCCTCTGGCAGGGCTTTAACTCTTAACCAATTCCACAGCATTGCTGCACCACCGCCTGCTGCTTTGAAGCTCCTTTTTTTGTGTGTCAATGCTGCTTGTCAGAACGCAAAGGCTTGCCGTAAAGCCAGCAAACAAACTAATATCAAGACAAAGGAAAGGGCACTGGTCTCCAAAATACCAGATTGTGTGCCTGCAGGGGCAACGGGAGACTGGGGTTTCTTACAGAAGTGAAAGCACAGGGTGACCCCATCACAAGGAAGGCTCATCAGATCAAGGGATCTTCAGCGTGAAACATATGAGATCATTTCATTTTACAAGACACTGCTGGGCTTCACCGGGAGAGGAAATTTCCCAGCGCAGCGCTGTGGTGCGATTTGCCTTGCGCTGCCCCCGTCGGCAGCGTAGCCCTGGAGCTCACATGCTAATAAAGATCCCTTTCCACTTCAGTAGCTTTGCACAGAAAGAAACGCTCGGCATGGTGCGTGCGTGAACTCAATGGGAAAGGGAGCTGGAACGTAGCCATGCCCAGAACAGAGTGCTGCCTACCGGGCGAGCCCCATCAATAATTGAGATGTCAGAGGAGCCGGGAGGTGTGTGAATAAGAGCTGTCAAAAGGAGTAATTGGGATCTGTGAGGATCCAGTGATGGATAGGCTCGCTCGCCACCAGACACAACTGCAATACACCCAGAGAGAAGAGGAGCAGGGCGCTGAAATTCAATGGGGCTGGGGCAGGCTCTTTGGTGGGCAGGATGTCATTGCCTGCGTGCAGGAGGGCATCACACCCGAGGTACCAGGCAGGTGTGGGCATGCTGTCTGGTGGCTGGAGGGAGAGAATGCACTTACAGCACGTGGACGATACCTGGTAATTTTGGTGGTGCATACCAGAGGCTTGAAGTGAAGGTAATGCCATCTCCTTGAGGAAAGTCATCTCCCGCCCACAGCAGTCACTGGGCACAGAGGGCTGTGTGCACCTAACACTTGTCTGTGCAACGCCTCCACTCCCCAGATGGGTAACACCCTCCCCCTCTCTATTCCTACATCCTTAAATCCAACAGAAGATGCATTTGGCTGGCAGTGGGATGCCTCCTTGCTCCTCCTTGTTCCTCCATCCACCAGACACCAACATGTTTCATCTGCACCCAGGGGCTCCCATGCACTCCCGACACCGAACCACCACATGGCCATGGACAGACATGAGGCACCAGCGAAAGCAGAAGGGCTCAGGGCAGCTTCCCTGCACCCACAGCTCTGTGCTGCCTGATCCCTGAAGGGACCCAACACCTCGCTCCGTGCAGGGGGTGGAGGGGAAGCTGCCTACATCTTGGGGCTTCCTCCACCAAGGCCAGAAAGAGGCGTTCAGAAAGGGGGAGCGGTGCTTAACGCTCTCGTGGAGCTCCAGGCTTGCCAGAGCTTCAGTGCAGCCAACAGCCGTCCTCATTTTAAAGGAGGTTTCAGACCTGCAGCAATTAGGGGCTCAGCCATGTGATAAAGCCTGGTGGCTCCAACAAG